AAAGTTACCAGTAAGACACAATCGCGCAAATTGCCAAGGCAGCTTTTAGCTTTGGGGACCCTCATATTCCTTCCGTATTGTTTGACTTCGTCTTCTTGGTATTCTATTTTAAGTCCGACGTGTGTTTTTGGACATACAATGTCGGATCGCATAAGAGTATCGGGTCGTAAAGTGTGAGGACATAAATCGTGAGCTGCGAACTTTTAACCCCTACGATTTGGTCGTGCAGTTTGAGCTGGAGCTACGTGCAATAATTGAAAATATCGAACAGTGTATGCCCGGCTTTTGGTTGATTGGACACCCCAAATTGGCCTCAGGAGTGAGTTTGCGTGGTTGTGTGTCTCTGTGTGACCCTGCGATTGACTGGCGGACCGTACAGGGTGTACCCCGTCTCTCGCCCATTGACTACCGGGATAGGCTTCAGTTTCCTTCCACGACCCCATTAGAGGATAAATGGTTACGATAATGGATGAATGGATGAACTGTACTAACAGAGGTGCGGTTTAGGACAGAGGTTCTCTTACAGCAGCCCCTGGAGGCAGTGGAGGCAGTAGATGTGTCCACAGGAGTTCTGCTGGGGGTTGAGCACCACGCCGTTGCAGATGGGGCAAACAAATTCCTCCTTGAGCTTGGTCACAAACTTCAACGAGCGCTGGATGGAGGTCAGCTCTGACTCCCAGGAGCTGGCGGGGCCGGCTGACCTGGTCCTGGACTCCCTGGAGTCCGGCCTCAACTCCTCCGACCTTTCCAGAGACCCCTGGGACTGCGGACCGGATGGTTGGGGTTTTCCGGAGTCTGCTGTCGCCATGAGTCTGCAGAGCAAAGAAGCAAAACCATTAAATGCAGACCGTCCGTGGAATTTCCGTCTCATCATTCTGGGAATGGTCTAATCCGATTGCCGCTGGGATCCGGAGGTCAGAACCAGGTTTTACTCAGAAAAGCTGCGTCCGCTCAGAACAGGCCAGAAATGTGTGGCAAGCTACTTTCAAAGTTTGTTATCTATAAAGAAAACTTAACCTATAAAGAGCCTTCAGGTATCAGCCTCTGGGGGACTGGGGAACCAGTCTGGAGCCAGTTTGGGTTCAGGAAGCAGGTCCCCCCAATATGTGGAACCAGTCTGGGTTCTGGAAGCAGAACCCACCCTTTCTGTGGAACCAGTCTGGCTTCAGGAAGCAGACCCCCCTCCCTTTGTGGAACCAGTCTGGCTTCAGGAAGCAGATCCCCCCCAATCTGTGGAACCAGTCTGGGTTCTGGAAGCAGACCCCCCTCTGAAGAACCAGTCTGGGTTCAGGAAGCAGAACCCCCCTCTACCTTTAAGATCAAACTTTCCTTTCTGATAAAGCTGATAGTCACAGATTCTCAGGGACCCTGAAACACCCCATGGTTCTGCTAGGGGGGGGTAGTCCCATGATGCACCTCTCCCTGTACATGGGACATTTATCTTCTCAGCAAGTTCTGGTTCTCCGTCTCAGCAGCAGGCCGGGTACAAAGACATAAACCCTAACCCCACCCCAGAAGACCCCCCAGCTGCTGTCAGAAGGGCTGGGGAGGATTTTACCCACGTGGGGGTGGGACAGTTCTGCCTGATCAGCGTTTTTTTTTTTTGCCATGTGGTCGAAAAGGCAGATAGCCCCCAGCCAGCCTCACGCGACTTTAGACTTTACACACCCAAATAATCTCTGTAGTTGTTGTTGTTGTTATTTTGAAGGCCATAAAAAGGTGACATCACACAGATGTCCGCGTGCCAAAAGGCTGCGGGGGGAATCCCCGCCCCTCCCGTTTGCAGCTGGACGTCCTCTCTTAGGTGTCCACGTCCCGTTAAATCACGACTGTCCCATCGGAAAAGTCCTTTCAAATATTCAAAAAAACAAAAATAAACCAACCCCTTCTCTGTTCCGATCTCCTCACGCACGAGCGCTAGAGCTGTTTTACTTTCATTTTCAGCCGGGGGCCTGTCAGCGCGCACATCCGCCTTCATTTGGAGGTTTTTCTTACCCGGGGCAGTAGGTCTCTCGTGAAGTTTCACGCGAGGCCGTGGGTCAGAACCGGAGCCGGTGCTGATGGAGCTGATGGAGCTGGTGGAGCTGATGGAGTCTGGAGGCCCTGAGGCAGGAAGTGACTGAAACCCGGCAACCTGCGGCCGCCCTCTGTGCACGCGTGGGGGGGGGGGGGGCTCAGGGAAACCATCTGAACGTCAACCCCCCCCCACCTCCCCAGTTCACGGCTTCTGTAACAGCACAAAGAGTGGAAACAGGTTCACAGTGGACAAGAAGGGAGTTTTTAAACTAGAGGAAGTCTGGACAAAGTCCACGCGCGTGTCAGAAATTGAGGCCGCTAAAATCCACCAGTGGAAAAATTAACATTTTTTGATACTATCCAACAGAAACACAGACCAGTTACATCCCCATATAAATACTTGTCAGAAATAACATGAAGAATTATTATTTATTAAGTATGAACTTCCAACTATGTGAAATTCTTTTTTAAATGATCTAAACACACTTTATACTGTGCGAATATCAGTTTTTAGTGGTGATGCAGTTTACATTGAGCCATGTTATTTACTTTATTTACATATTAATAAGTCTACTTCCACAGTTTTGCACAGTTTTTTATTTTATTTTACATTAGGACAATGTATTTAACAACCCATTGTCTGCACCCACTTTATCCAGGTCAGGGTCAGGGGTGTGTTAGATGTGAATGTGGAAAAACAACCTTATCCCTTTAAAGCCTGATCCAAAAATAAAACAAAACCAAAAAAATACTTTTCTTTTGTTCTAAGTCTTTATTTGGCCTTTTAACAAAATATGTAAAAAGAAAAAAAAAAACATTTTTAATATTAATAATTTATTACTATGCGATGAGTCAAGATTATTTTTTGTGTAGTCTTCTGCCCCCTGTTATCAGGTGTATCTGATTGTGTACAATAGGATTTTGAACAAAGTTTTTACCCTTAAATTATGCAAAAGGTGTCAGATGCAAAACATTTCAGAAACCGTACGTATCAAATATGATACATTTGGCATTATAGGGTTATGCTTTCACAGTGATGTCACCCACCCGTCGATCCATTTCCTTTGACAGCAGTTCAGGTTCAGGTTGAAGGTCCGATGGAGCCTCGCCTAGCTGCAGAGTGCTGAGAGGTAAGCTCCAGAGGCCGTGCAGAGAGAAATTAGTGAAAAAGATCCATATTTCTTCTGCTGTCATCGCCCATTTTGCTCTCATTTCTGTGGCTTCTGCTCAAACTCAAGGAACACAATGCATGATTCCAGTTACGTTAAACACTGGTTTATTTTAGTCCAAAAAGCATTAAGAGCACTTTCACAATGATTATTATTATCTTTTTTTTTTTTTACACAATGTTCAAACTGGTAGCACCAGGGAGAAAAATAAATAAGACTGACAAACTGACAGCACAAGACGGGTCCAGAGGATGCTGCATTCCCATACACGTGGTCACCATCCGGACAAAACAAAAACGTCTCGGACAAAAAAAAAAAAAAGTTAAACCTCAGAACGAGGACAATAGTGAGAGTGGTTCTGCCACGAGGCGCTAGGGCAAATCGTTAGTGTTCTACGGATAGATTACGATCGACTTTACACTGAACGGAGGGATGAGAAACCAGTCTGGGGAAAACAAAGGGACTCCGCTTTCAGTAGATGCTACAGTGGGACGCTGATGAAGACACAAAGATCCCCCAGACTTAAAAACACCAACATTCTAAAAACAGAACTTTGAGACTTATTGTGTTTTCTGGAAGAATTTCGGAGATGGTCGTTTCCCATCATGGCTGGATAGATTTTAGACGGCTGGTTTTTCTGTTTGGTCTGGACTCAAAAAATAAAAAATAAAAAACAAATCCAATCAAATACTGGGAGCTTTAACATGAAAGACGAAGCCTTAGACTTTCTTGAGTCCCCGATAACTAAAAGCCAAAGTTAGCATGCTAGCAGAGCCAGTGATGATGGTGAAAGTGTACTAACGTACGGTAACAAATTATTGTCTACAAACACAAAGCAACGTAAAATCACTACGATTAACTGATGAGTCTCCACTTCCTCGTTGGTTACTGCGGTCGGGTTCGGGCGGAGAGCGTGATGGGCAAAAACACTGAATATAAGAAATGGACAAAACCACCTCGCCATTAAACCTTTCATTTATGAGTGTGAAGCACTTTTAGAAACCGGACCATGATTGAACAAAAAAAAAAGAAAGAAAAAAAAAGGAAGAGATGGACAAATATGGCCCCCTTTTCCACTTGTGCCTACTTGGTGTGAGGCCACCCCTTTGTAGGCTTTTTTTCAGGGACAAAACGTGACCGCTACAAACTGCTGGCCACTGATTGGCTGGAGAGTGCCGTTGCTACTAGTGGAAACAGGCCTGTACCTGCTAACACTCTCATGATCAAGACTGAATCTATATGCTGACATCTTCCGGACTTATAAGACAAACTATCAGTTCAGCATCTCATGAGAGACACTGACTGTGTTTTTGAGAGCTGCTCTTTAAGGCCCAGCCTCATTCGTTTTTAGTCTGACAGCAGGTGGCTTTGCCCATCTTTTATATCACAGCTTTGGACAGAGAGCAGAGGCCTGGAGGGACTGCTTGACAACAACATGGCTGTGCGATACGATGATCTGTACACCTTCAGTCACGGGCGTCTGCGGACCTGACGACTCGCTTGCCCGCATCCCCCCCGCCCCCCCCCTCCCCGAACACGGATTTAACTCTGACACTGCTCGGCAAGCGTTCTGCATCTGAGTTCTGTGGAGGAGAGCGACTTTCACCCCGGGCAAAAGCTGGCTGTCCAAACCGAACGCGTCCGGGCCGTGAACGGCGACAGTTCGTCCTCCGAGGCACAAAGTCGGACCCCCCCCCCCCCCCCGCGGAACCCCGAATGCAGAGCCCTGGCTTCAGCTTTCGCTGGAAAACTACGCGTGGTCTTTGATCCGGTTCTTAGACGGAAAACAACTGGCTCGGGGGGCGGGGGGGCTGGCTAGTGGAGGGAGGAGGAGGAGGGTGTGTCCGACGGGTGGGCGGCCGGGCCGGGGGCCTGCGGGCCGGCGCCGGAGCCGGCGCCCAGGGCGGCGGGGGCCGGGCGGGGGTTGAGGCGGGGCGGCAGGGGGTTGGAGGGGCGGATGAGGGGCGGGGGCTGCTGCAGGTTGGGGCGGGGCTGCAGGAAGCGGGCCTGCTGCTGGAGGGGCGGCGGCTGGCGGTGCAGGGCGGGCGTGGTCGGGAGGGAGGGCCTCAGGAGCGGGGGGGGGCTGGTGCAGGGCGGAGGACGAGGCGCCGGGCGTCACGGGGGTCTGGGCGGCGGAGGACGAGGAGGCGGCGGCGGGGGACGCCCCCGTGGACGTGACCTGAGCCTGTGGAGAGGAGAAGGCGGGCCATTACTCACAGCAGGAATTCTGCTGCTAAAGGTTTCCCCAAAAGGGAATACCGTATTTGCCGCACTACAGTTGAACAGTAATGTATGTATCTGACAAATTTTGCATATTTTACATCATAAAATGTGTAAATGTATAAAATATATTACAAATATTTCACTATCAAACTAAAAGAATCCAGTCCGAACATAATAAAACAGCTGTTCATTCATTTTGGGAGTGAACGAAGTTGTCAGATCGCTGGTTTGTATTCGATTAATAAAGTTTGGCTGACTTATCTGACTGTTTGGTTGACATTCTCTTTAGCGCAGCTACATCTAGTGGATGCAAAACGCAGCCCCAGCCACAACTGGAGCTTCTACTCTATGTGCCTTATAATGCGGTGCGCCTTATAGTGCAGAAAATACGGTATTGGGAGGATTTGAGTGACGCCTAATTGGGTTTAGTAAAAGAAGAAAAAAAGAAGAAGTTTACTTCCTGTCTCATTAGGCCTCACTAGTTGTCAGTGACTGGGAGGCAAACAGCCTGATCTTTCACCAAGTCAGAAAACATGCTGACTTGACGAGTTAAGATGCAGCATGCAGGTGGAGCTGGCGGAGTTGTGCCCGCAGCAGAACTCCGCCAGCTCACATCCGAGCGTGTAAAGTTAAAGGTCTCGCCTCCTCGTCCTCCTCGTCGGTGCTCTTCCCCGACGGGGTGGTGGAGTTGTTCTTGCCCTCCTCTCCTGAGGTGGCGCCGTCGCCGTTGGGGGCCCGGGTTCCCTGCTCCGCCTCCCACTCCTGCAACACCTCCTCCAGGTTGAAGCGCCGCCGGTAGTTCACGAAGAAGTTCTTCACCTGGCCCACCGTCTTGTTGCCGATCACGTCGGCTATGGCCTGGAAGTCTTTTCCGTACTTCCGGACACCTGGAAACGCATAAAAAACAAATCAAGACAAGAAAGGTGTACGTCAAATAGCTCTTGTTATGACAGAAGGAAGCTAACTTCATAAGAAAAGACTGATACAGGATTTCTTATATCTGTGACACAGCCTGTGGTGTCTGGTAATAAGTAATTATCTATATTTATGACTAACATAGGAGATGCCAAACATGGTGATCACTTCAATAATGCGATTAAACAAAGGTTTGTAAAATTATGTGAAGGTGACAGAGCCACAGACCCCCAAAACAGTTCTCTCATGTCCTTATATCACCTCCCCATTCCCCAGAAGTGTTCTTAAACTTTCAAGTGAGCAGAGTTTTTGATCACATGAATGGAAGCTGTAATGATATTTAACCGGAGAGCTTCCAAAGCTTCAGATGCAGCTCACTGTTCTGGGTTAGTCCCTGAAAGACACACCTGAAAGAGGATCAGGCCTTGTGAGCCTCTGACCTCTTCAGTAAATCATTTTCTGTAATCCGGACAAATGTCTACATCCCACTGAACCATCAGGCCACGAAAGTCCCCCGGACCATGATTTACTCTTTAAAACATGCAATGAATTACTACGGCACTTTGAGAAGTTGCAGAAATCAGAGGTTCATTCCAACATATCGAGTTAGAGTCCAATTAATGGAGAGCAGCATCTAAGAGATCCAACAATAAAAGCTTTAGGTGCCAGGTGCCCTCCCAGGTTGGATTGTTGTTTAATTCTAAATCCCAACCAGAGCAGAACCGGGTAGAGGGAGGGACAGCAACACAATCGTAAGGTTTGGTGGACAAAAACACAGAAAAAAAGCTATCAGGAAACCAAAACCACAAGCTAAATTGAATTAGAGTCTAAAAATGTTATAGATGAGAAAGCCAATCTCATTCCACAGTAACAACACAATGAGCCACTGAAGTCTTTGTGAAATTGGCGATCACAAATTAGCCGGACGCTAACGAGTGTGGGCTCTCAGAGCCTTTCCTCTGAAAACAGCCGAGTCAGCGGCTCAAACATACCTTGGACAGCCAGCAGCTGCTCGTCTGTTGTCCAGCGGGCGTTGACCTTCTGGTTAGACTGTAAGATGAAGGAGAGTTTAGGCGAACTTCGGGTGGAAGCTGACTGGACGTCATGTTTGGTTTCAACAGCGAGAGGACACGGAAAAGTCGCTGGCGCTTATTTTAACGTGTGCACATACCTCAGGCAGCTTGAACTCTTCAATTCCGGAGTCCAACATGTGTTTGAGTCCACTGTTCATCTGTTTGGAGTTCTGGACCTGAGGGGCGGAGCAGAGCCACTTAAGTGAGGTCAGAAAAACCCACCTTAAAGTTAGTGCGATTCTTCCCATTTCCACGTATTTTACATGAAATCATAGCTTCCCGACCAGAAGATCCCTTTTTTTTTTTACTGTTGTTTAAATAAGTCATCTGGCTTTAAACCGTTGATTTTAGGATATCAGGTTGCAGGGAAGATGAACAAATAGGGTCAGACCCTGTGGCCTGTTGGATCAGACATTTAAAGAAATGTAATAACATGGCTGCATGCTTACACCAAGGAGCATGAAATCGTCTCCGGCTCTAGAACCTTCATAGAACCGTCTCCATTCAGGAACTGGTTTTGTTAAAAAGGAGTACCAAATCAGGCAGAGATGAACTGAACGTGTTTGTGTGGCCGACCTGGATGGTTGAGTCAGTGATGGGAAAAGTAGGAAAATACATATTTCCCAACGTTGGGGTTGAGCCGTTACCTGTCTCTTCAGGGACACCAGCTCCATGTCCAGCTGGCGGAGCAGCGTGTTGGCCGCCGAGGAGCTGCAGGACACGGCCACCACGTCCTCCTGGGTCAGGTACATGCCCTTAGGGGGGCGGCAGCGGGAGCGCTGGTGGTGCCGGTGCTGGAGGGTCTGGTGCTCCCGCCGGCCCAGGGCCACCTTAGAACCCGGCATGGGCGGCTCGGGCTGGTTCTGGAGGGGAGAGGATACGGAGCAGAGGATGGGCGTTTAACAAACAAGTGGCTTCAAATACAACCGAATGTTTAGAGGACATTGAACTTTGAATATGTTGAACATAAACAAAGAAACTTAACACAGGAGTGTATTTAAAAATGAGACTTGAATAAATTACTGCTTGATACTCTGAACTGGCAAAGCAGTCTCCTCATCTCTCTCCTGTTTGTCAGGAGTATATCTGTCAGCCAAGGTGCCGTTGCTACGGTACCCGTTACATCCACCTCACCTCTGGTTCACTAATAAAAGATCCTCGGAACGAATTATTTTAATGTTTCGAGTTCCACTTTACAAGTGTCTGAAAGCATGACAGAAATCCTGAGTGCTAACAACACTGAACAGAAATGTCACATAAAGAATGATGATTATTTGTGTAATAATAATAATAATAATAATAATTGTGTTTTATTATCATTCATTTGTTTTTTTCATTGATAACTGTCAAAGATTTTATTTCATTTACACTCATGAAAACAAAACTGGCATCAAGCTTTTATTAGATCTTGTTTTAGAGGAAACTTTTGACCATTATTCAGACTTGAAAATGATAAAACTAAATAAAAAGCTTTGAGACAACTTTGGATACAAAATTTCTTATTCTGAATTTGAGTTGGTGTTGTGTCATGTTTATATTATATCTTATATATATTATATCTGCACAGTATTCATTATCAGAATAAAATGGTTGTTCTGAATTTCCTGTCAGCATTTTTGCACTTCATTTAAGAAAAATGACATAGAACAAAAAACAGTGATATGACTAAAGGTCTTCAATGTGGCCTTATTCTATCCGTTTTGTGCATTTTTCAGCCTTCTTCATGGCTAACATGTTCCACCCACTTGGTGGTGTCACATTCCCGGTGGCGACCCCTGCTGTTCAGATAGGAGACTGCAAGGGGTCCACCTCTGTGTTGGGATGTAACCGTGGATAAAGCGTTAACACACCTCTTTCTTGGGTTCCTTGCTGGGATCGTAGTCAGTGTCATTTGGTTCGATCGGATTGGCCTCCTCCATCTCTTCATCACTGAAGCAAAAACATTTACCCGTCGGACAATCGGAATTACGGGGCTCATTTGTGTGACAGAGCCAGAAATCTGCAGGTTGTGCTACAAAAGAGACACGCACATATGGAAATATATACAGAACCTGCTCAGGTTTTTATCAGCACGTGGTCCCTGTCCCACCAAAGAGAAAAACTTTCTCTTTAAAAGACGTCACTTTTCATAAGTCTTTCTCTTTGGTGAGAAAAAATAAACTAAACGTAAAAACGCAAATCAAACGCAGATAGCAGCATCTGAAGAGATTTTAATAATCCATTTCCTAAATATTTAGTGTTACTGGCAACTTAAAGCCAAATATTCTCCTTTATCATGAGAAAACAGGACTCCAAACCAAAAGTATTGTATTTTTTCTGAAATATCTTCATTATATGCCAGTCTAAAAAACGCCCCAGACTGAGAGATGCTAAATTAGTGTGTGGGGGGGAATCGAATAGATGCTAAAATGAATATAAACTTTAAACCTTTTAAGAGCAGTTAGCCTGAAATGTGGCTTCCAACTGACATCAGAACAGGATGAGGACGGTGTGGAGCCAGGTCACACTTTTCACCTTAAGTCTAAATCATCTGCTTCCATTTAAAAAAGCTTTTTTTCTTTTTTTTTTCAAACACCACTACACCGAGACGTCTGGCCCAGATGGACCATGCCGGTACCTGTCATCCTGGTTGCTCCTAGTGGCGAGTTTGCGGGCCTGTCTGTCCATCAGACTTGTTCTGGACCGAGTCTTCTTCCACGAATAGTAGTACTTCACAAGGCTTGAGATGGATTTGTCTGGTAACTGGGGGGGAAACACATATGTATCACAGGAACTTTCAAAGCTGCCACTAAACAATCTCAATCAAACTGTATGAAAATGCTGAAATGCTCAATGCCTTATTTAAAGGCACTAAAAGTTAAAAGAAAAAGAGAAGAGGTTTCATATGAATTGCCTGTGCGGTTCCAACTATGTATGAAGCAGAAAATCGTGAAAAAAGGTTCTGCAAACACGGATTCTAGTAGCAGAGTCGGGCCTTTACCATCTGCTGGATGCGGTGGAAGCTTTTGCCGTGGAAGCTGAAGGCCTGCTCAAACAGCACCTTGTCCTCCACCGTCCACTCGTCTGGGAACGGGGTGAAGTTTGGCAGGTCAGCCAGAGACTTCTCGATGTTGTGTTTGTGCCAAAACAGCATGCCAAGAGCCTGCATACACACATACACACAGACAGTTAACCCATACATGATCTCCTGAACTTGACCCCAGTGAAACACAAAGTGATTTCTTTCCTTTTTCCGGCTGGTAAACAAACAAAACTGCATCACCCTTTAAAAACTGCTGTTCCTTAATTAGCCCAGAGAAGCAGGCATGGTTATCATCAAATACCTGCAAAATAAATCTTCAAATTTCAAGAGGAAATAAACATGTTTACAGCCTGAAACAATGATTTTGTTTCTGTAATTAAGGTCCTCTTTTATAAAAACTTGATTTGCTCTGACAAAATTCTGATAAAAAATGTATTCAAACTGTGGCTGCTCCCCAAAAGAGCCTTGCTTTCTCTGCTTTCTCAGCCAGACCTTTGCAATAACCCCAGTTTGACCCTTTGCAGAGATGGTTCTTCCTTCTGATCAAAGTGTGGAATGGGATCGCCAGGTTTAATAAAAAAAAGAAACCATGCTGGGACGCTGCCTTTGGCAAACACTCAAGATATCCCGACCGAGGAGGTGTGACCGCCACACGAAATGTCTTTACTCAATGAAGGGGAAAAATGGAATCAATTCAAAATTCAATAAGCCCACAAAGGCTTCCCTTGGCTGGGGTGGAGAGGTCGGCGCCTCAGAAAACGACTGGACAAGGCGTGAGCGGAATAAGAGCCTGGAAACGGCGGGACCGCTCACCTGCTCCACGTTGTATCCGTGTTTCTCCTTGGCGATGGCGATGTATTCATCCACTGTGGAGGGAGACGCGGGACATTAGTTTGAGCTGGTGTTAAGGCAAAAGAGGAGGGGTAGCTGAGCCAGAGCGGCTTCACTCACGCTTGGAGTCCACGATGGTGTGGTAGGGAGACCAGACCAGCATCCCTCCGCTGTCTTTGTCTGTGTACTTGGTGGAGCCTGTGGAGAAAGAGAGCTTTAATACGACTCAAAACCCAAACTCTGACTCCAACTGATGCTCTCCCAAACTTTCCCTGCATGCTTTAAGTCATAACAAGTTATTTACATTTAACATTGAGCAGATGCTTTTATCCAAAGTCCCTACACAAGCGTCCGTGGATGACATTTTCGTGTTCTCCCTCTTGCTCTTGATTTACTTTAATTTCAAATGTACGGCTTACTATTAGTCTTTTTCTAAACAAACCCCCTAAGTCCAACCTAAGAGGTTATAGGACGTAAAATCAGGATGATTGCAGTCACCAATCTTCTTTGAATCGATATACATTCAGAGAAATTAGTGGCTTATTCTAGAACTAAATTAGGCCGTTTTGATCATTCCATAGAATGAATTGTTGTCACAAGTTGTGAGTGAAGATGTGGGGTAGCCTGGGGTCCGCTTGGTTCTTCAGTCTATTTGCGTACACGTGGTTTTACGCCGCGTACTGCAAAAAACAACTGAGCTCAACTTTAAACTAACTCTGCTGCCATGTAGTCTGAACACACAGACCCACACAGAGTCACATAGACCCACAGAGACCCACACAGAGAACCAGAAAGACCCACACAGACCCACACAGACCCACCAAAAGCCACACACACCCACCGAGAGCCACACAGACCCACACAGAGACCCAGAGAGACCCACACAGAGCCACACAGAGACCCACACAGAGCCACAGAGACCCACACTGAGACCCAGAGAGACCCACACACTCACACAGACCCACAGAGACTCAC